CAGATTTCTTAATGAACAGAGTTTTATCAACCTCACCTCGCTTGTACCCTTGATCAATTAGAAAATTACTTAACCTCTCATACCATTGTCTAGGTGCTTGCTTCAAGCCATAAAGAGCCTTTTTCAATTTGTAGACATGGTCAGGATGCTTGTGATCTTCAAACCCAGGAGGTTGAGAAACATACACTTCTTCATTGATAAGTCCATTAAGAAAGGCACTCTTTACATCCATCTGTAGTAATCTGAAACCATTCAAACAGGCATAAGCTAATAATAATCTAACGGCTTCAAGCCTAGCTACAGGTGCAAATGTTTCATCAAAATCAATGCCCTCTTGTTGGTTATACCCTTTGGCTACCAACCTAGCTTTATTCCTAGTGATAATGCCAGTGTTCATCTAGCTTGTTTTTGAATACCCACTTAGTACCAATTATATTGATATCTTTGATTTTAGGAACTAATTCCCACACTTTATTTCTTTCAAATTGATTAAGCTCATCATGCATGGCACTAACCCAGTATTCATCATTTAATGCTTCTTTAACTGTCTTAGGCTCTATTTGTGAAATGAATGCCATATGATTACAGAATTGATTAAGAGAATGTCTAGTAGATACTCCCTTATTAATTTGCCAGATGACATTGTCTAGAGAGATTTCTTGGGACAATCCACTCTTTAGGAAGCTCTTCCAGAACATCTTCTTCCTGTTCTCCAGTAATTGTAGATGGATCAGCTTTTGCAGAGTCCACAGATGGATCACCCTCTTCAGCAGTATGCTGATCTGTGCTACTGGGACATTTCAACTGATAAGAATTATCAGTTAAATCTTCTTCATCAGCAGTACCTGTTGATCTATTCTGCACAACTCGAGGAGACTCATTAAACACAACATGTACAGATTCTTCAACTGATTTCAATCTTAAATTGTAAACTCTATATGCATGGCCGAATTTCATTTGGATGTTTTGAAAATGATTTTCAGTAACAAACTGATTAAACAAATTATTTTACTAATTTGGTCTTTAATATTCGTTTTGAAAATGCAATAGTAAAATGATCGATTAATACTTGAAAGAATCGATTGTTTTACGTATTGGAAGAGATCTAGAAGATGATACCAGAATTTAAATCGATTAAAACAAAAATGAGTCGATTAAATTTGATACCTTAGTGATTTTAGTTGATATAAATTCATTCTAATCGATTAAAACAGCTAAAACTCAAATCATGAGAACATTTTAATCGATTGATTCGCATTTCAATCGATTAAAACTGTACGGACAGATTTACTAAAATCTTCTGTAAGTTATTTTAATCGATTAATCCTGGTTTATATCAATTAAAACAATCAGTTTAGACAAACAGAACCTGATTCGTAGCTCTCGAACTTCAAGGGATTCCAGACTTTGTTCCTGCAAAACAAGTTAAGAATTTTTCTGGTACCCTTACGTATTTTGGGTCCTTAGGAGTCAAATTTTCTGTTTAACATGTTTTGGAACCCATTTCTTCCTACCTTGCGGCACAAAATATTTCCTAGCATGACAGAATTTTATAGTATGTCCTTTCTTCATGCAGTAATGACAAGATGAGAAAGGGGATGCTGTTGTTTTTCTGTATGAAAAGAAGTTCAAATATTTTTTAGTTTTTACCCCATTCTTAGGTTTGTACCCGATTCCAGAACGTTCAAACACACAGTTTTGAGATCCAAGCAGTGCATCTAAATTCTCTTTACCTTGAGTAAATTTTGTTAAGGTTTTAGTTAAGTAATCAACCTTATTTTGTAAAACAGTACACTTTTCACAATTCTTATTAACAGCAACATTATCTGCAGATGAATAGATAATATCTAGATGTTCTAAATCTGTTTTGCTTTCTAGCAGTTCTTTTTCCAGAGTTTTAACTCTATTTTCTAACCAGTTATTTAGCCCTTTCAACCGATTATTTGTATGAGATAAATTTCTGGCTTCACTATGCATTTCATTGAAAGCATTCAGTAATGTGCTGTAATTCATTTCATTTTCTGTAGAAGTTGAACTTACATGTGATGAAGAGGATTCACAGCCAGCCATCAAACACAAGTTTACCTCTTCACCTTCGGATTCGAAGCTGGAAGAAGATTCATTGTCTTGCCAAGCTATGTAGGCCTTTTTCCGTTTGTATCTTGAATCTTTCTTATTCTGATTCTTGGTCTTTTCTAGACGAGTCGCTCCTTATGTGACCCTGTTTACCACAAGAATAACAAGTAATATTATTTTGAACAGATTCAGTCTTTCTATCATTGTACCTTTTTACTTGGCCAGTCTTGTTCTTTCTTCTCGAAATTTCCGAATTTCTTAACCAATAAAGTCAGGTTCTCGGACTCATCTTCTTCAGAATCACTGTTTTCTTCAATCGTCTTGAGAACAATATTTCTACTTTTCTTTCTCGCATTCTCTTGTTCTTTGAACCGATTGATTTCCAACTCGTGTTCCCTTAACTTACCAAAGAGTGAGGCAGTAGTCATTTCGAGTCAAATCTCTTGATTCCGATATTGCTGTCACCTTTGGTTGCCAAGTTCTGTCCACACACTTCAGTATTTTGATATTCAACGCCTCCTTGTCAAAGGTCTTCCCTAGCCCGATCAAATGATTAACTATGTGCGTGAATCTTTTCTGCACATCTGCAATTGTCTCCCCTTGCTGCATTTTAAACAACTCATAGTCCCTGATTAACTCATGCTTTCTTGCCCTTTTCACATCAGATGTTCCTTCATGTGTGACCTCTAGAATTTCCCACATCTCTTTGGCGGAAGCACATCGAGACACCCTGAAAAACTCATCAAGATTTAAGGCAGAGGTAATAATATTCTTTGCAGTATAATCATATTGCACTCTCCTATTTTCTGCATCAGTCAACTCACTCCAACTTTTCTCAACAGTTTTACCATCTACTATATGAGTTGGTTTAAAAGGACCATTAACAATTGTTTCCCAAATGCCTCTATCAAGGGATTCAATAAAGATTTTCATTCTAACCTTCCAGAAAGAATAATTCACACCAGCAAAAAGTGGAGGCCTGTTTATGGAGGCTCCTTCTGAAAAATTCATCTTTCCCTCGACCATTGGACCGATTACTTGAGTAACTTACAAGAACCAAGCTCTGATGCCAATTGAAAGAATTAATGGTTGAGTTCAAAAGGGGGGGTGAATTGAACTTAAAAACTTTTTTGCAAAACTTTACTTTCTTTTGGAAGAATGAGTTATCTTTATTCAATTCTTGAAAAGATGATTTGATTTAAAACACAGCAAGATTATATTCAGAATTTAAAAGAGATGATAGAAAGAAATCAACACACAAATTTATACTGGTTCACTCTAATCCAGAGCTACGTCCAGTTCTTGACAAAACCTGTCAAGTTTCCACTAATACCAAGTGACAATTACAACCCGTAGATCCTCACCAATCTACACCAAGAACTATCTTTTCAACCTATAAGATAGAATCTTGAAAAACACCCAAGTAACCAAATCCGATTCATCGTACCAAGTGTAGCTTACAATCCAATCTACACAAATCACACGATACAAAAGAATAAGGAAAGAAGAAACCTGGACTTTGAATTCTAATTGCCCAAGCACCAATTCTAAAGCACTCTCTCACTGTGAATGACCACAATGTTGATCAAAGCACCTTATGATATGACAAAATCTTGAATGCGAGAGAAAAACGTAGATGAACGATTCACAGATTGATTTCTCAAGTTTTCTCAAGTAGTGTGTTGTATTGTATTGTATTGTATCAAAAAGTTAGATCAAATCTGTATATATAGAGTAAATCATAGAATCAGACTGATTCAACTGTCAAAAGCTGTTTGAGAGTCAAAAGATCGATTAGTTTAAAGTAAAACAGTTTAGAAGAGACTCTGATCGATTAGAAGCTGAAGTATGATCGATCAGACAGAGTTATGATCGATTAGAAGCTGAAGTATGATCGATCAGACCAGAGTTATGATCGATTAGAACTGAAGTATGATCGATCAGACAGAGTTATGATCGATTAAAATGAAACTATGATCGATCAGAATATTATTTCAATCGATTAAAATATCGATTCAATCGATTGATTTCATTTAAAGTTCCATTTAATCGATTAAGACATCGATTCAATCGATTGATTTCATTTAAAGTTCCATTTAATCGATTGATTCGAGTTTTAATGGATTAAAACAACTTAATGAAAAATGACGAGTACTACTGTTTCAATCGATTGAAAATCATTTCAACAGATTAAATTCCTGCAAATACTTAGTTAAAAAATAGTCTCTCTGTTTCAGCAGATTGAAAAATATTTCAACAGATTGATTTTCTAAAAACTCTTAGACTTAAAAAATATCTTTATTTTAACAGATTGAAAAACGTTTCAACTGATTGTTTTTCCGAAAACTCTTAGATTGAAAAATATCTTTCTTTTTCAACAGATTAAAAAGTATTTCAATTGATTGTTTTTCAGAAACCTTCATATTGAGAAATTTACTAAGTTATTTTAACTTGTTGATTCTGCGAATCAATCAATTGAAAATACGATTATATAGAACCACTTATTCTGTTAAGTGATTTTAACCGATTGAAAATCTTTTTCAACAGATTGAAAAACTTAGTTTGTTCTTTTAATGCAGAAAATGATTTTCAATGCTATGCAGAAGATTAAGGCGCTTCATCACAACATATAATGGCCTATCAAGGGATTAAGTGCTCAAGCTAAAAAACCTAATCATCTACACACCCACAACCTAAACTAAATTTATGTCTTCATCAAATTATATCTAAGTCTTCATCAAATCCACCAAGTGCTTCATAAGTCTAATAATGAGTGACATCAGTGGCCTTTTTTTGCTGGCAGCTGTTACTGCTGTAAACGTTTTCTTTTGTTACCCCAAATCAACAAACATGATCTGGCTGTTAAATTTTTAAAATAAACTAGTCCCTTTTGAGACATCACATCTTTGGAGCTTAAGATTCAAATGGTTTATGCAGAGTGCATAGAATTAGTAAGAATTTGAAATAATTTTCAATTATCAGTTTTGCAATAAATAACTCTCTTATTTTATAGAGACGTAAGATTTCATAAGTTAAATTCTAACGAACATTTTTTCTTGTCTCGTCATAAATAGCTTAGAAGTATCTACTCTGTTGTAAATTATTATTATTTCAAGACTTTAAGAAAATGAGTTTCAATGATTGCATAGGACTAATGGAATGTTTGCTAGAGCTTATTTGTGCATATGTTATGATGCAGAAATATTATACGTGTATCTAATGCGATATGAATTAGATACAATTATTCTAAAAATACGTATGACATAATACTTGTAAGATAGATATATGGATATATAATTAAATTTATAAAACATAATAATTGCTATTGTGCAAATCCAAATTAACATTTTTTTTAGACATGACCAAATACAAAATAAAATTTCCAAATCACTGTCATCATAAATTATTTTTTTATTGTAGACAAATAGAAGTAATATCAATCTTATTTCTTTCTTGAGATCATCTTTGCAGAGTATAGTTTCCATTTTTGCCTCATCAAGGGACTATGCTTATACTTCTACATTGTTTCATATGTAGCTGTGTTGGAGTTTTACAGTTCTTTTAAAGGCTTAGATACTTGATCGGTGAAACATTTAAGAGTATGATATGCATATCAGATATGGATGTGTAAAGCAAATTAAAGTATAGTGCTTCATTCCTTGTGACTTTCTCATAAGTTCTTCTTCACTTATTTCAATTAGCATTGTAGAGAAGCTTATCAAAATAATCTGTTTTTAGCTTATTCTAGTAAGTTTCACAATCAAGCTAAAGAGTCAACTCTGGTATAATAAAATCTTCTTGAACAAGTATTTAATTAAATTGTTTACCTAAATATTCCTAAATTTCTAAGGTGTGAAATGGGCATTAGTAACATGAAAAAAAAACATTCGTGAGTACATTGTTCTAGTATTTATAACAGAATATGTATTAAGAAATTAACATGATGATGTCGATTGTATGCAAAGGCTTCTGTTAGACCAGTTTAGATATTGATGCACTTTCTTTTGCATGGAATATTACTACATGAAGGTAACAATTGCTGCATTGCCAAATTTATGAAGAGTCTTTTGGCTGATAAATATGAACGAAGTATCTATATATCCTATTATATAGAAGTGAGCTTTCATGCTTAGATCTAATTGAATTTCCATTTTGGGGTGAAATCCCATGAAATTACTTATGTGCTTATCCATTTCAGGGCTTGATACCACGTGCTAAACTTCTTTTGACAATTGGAGGAACATTCTTCTTGGGATTTGGACCGTTGATCCTCATCATTGTTGCAACTTTTTCTGCTCTTTACTTCGTAAGTTCTTGGTATTATATATATATCACGTTTCCATATTGTATGCATGTCAGTATCATGACCATATTATTTGTACAATGACAACATGGTTGTTCTTTCATCTATTAGCTTGTTTGTTATTGAAGCAAATAACAATTTGACTGATAGAACATAGCCTAGTATATGGACAAACTATAACAATGTAGAACCTATTGCTGTAAGCCATATATACTTAATTTCTTCAATGTAAATAGTTATAATTCAAAGACACAGAGGCAATGCTGTAACTAGCATCTATATGAATTTTGTGCCCGTTGTCAGGTAAACTGAACACTCCCAATTTGTGAGTACAACTGTTTTTGTACATTTAATTATTGGGAGCAGCCACTTCATTTCATAATGTAGAAGCCTGTGATCTTTGCTACATCTTCTAATCTATCCTGTGGTTTTATATTTAATATGAGGCAACAAAGCTCAATACAACATGAACTTTTGGTTTGAATTTATTTGTCTTGTTAAATGAAACTTTTAATGGAAATATATTTGCTCTTTTTGGCATGTTCTTCTTACACTTCAATCCTCACTTTGTAGTGGATACAAAGGAGTGATGTTTTTGAAATGGCTTTGGATTTGATCCTCAGTTTACTGTTGCAGTATTTTGGACCAACATTTGTCCATGATGCAAGCAAGATGGCTATATCACCCCCACAATATGTGGACCCTTACGCACTCCTAGAAGATGAAAGGATATCACAGATAGCACCTCGTCTAAACTAAAGGCAAGACTACACATACTTAGCTCTTAGGAATCTAGTTGCATATATCAAATTTCTGTTTACTTAAGCCTCTGTTGATTTAGTTCCATTGTAAAATATCATCCAGGATCAACTTGTTATCTATTTTGCGTTCATCATTGACTCAATTCTTTACATCTGCTTTTTCCATTTTGCATAGGAGCTATGTATAATTCAAATCTATATAAATGCTCCATCACAAGAAACATTGCTTATAATTCTTTATTTTTCTGTTACAAGTTAAATTCCTCACTCCAGACGAAATTTTTATGAAATGAAACACAAACTTGGCAAACAATGATGGTGAAATGTTGAACACGAATAAAAAAAGAAGGAAGCATCGAATGGTGAAATATTTGGTTTGGTTAAGCATAAAAATCATGTAGCAGTTGTTACTGAAGCATTTATGCAAATAAGTAGTACATACATATATATATATATATATATATATATATATATATATATATATATATATATATATATATATCTGTATAAACGCAAAGATGGAAAGCTGGTTTACTTGAGTTTTTTAATTAAAATGACATTTTTTTAATTAAAAGTTAAATATACCCTATTTGTTGGAGAATCTTCATCCAAGTATTTTACATAGGAATAACATGAAACAGGAAAAGAAACTTACAAGAATCCAAGAAACAAATATAAAAAATAGTTAAATGGAGTTTAGTCTCTGAAAAGTTTTTAAATACCAATTTAATTCTTGTTATATATTTACTCGAAATACTCAAAATTTAGTCTTTGAAGTAAAGGAAAAAGTATCAGCTTTAGGGTGGGGACTATGTTTTCAAGAAGGAAAATGATTATTTTACAACCCAAATCCATTCAACTCTCATAAACAATTTTGTTTTAATATTATAATAATAGTTTTATTTTATTTTTATTTTTATTAAATCAGTCTATAGATTATTATATTAATAAAAATGAGTTGTTTGAAGGATTGTATGGTTTCTAGTTGTCAAAATATCACCACTCTTTCAAGAATACGACAAAATACAAATTTTCCAGGAACTGAAAAACATCACCAATCCATTAAAAAGTACATATATATATATATATATATATATATATATATATATATATATATATATATATATATATATATATATATATATATATATATATATATATATATATGATTAACACTTGAAAGAAAATGTGTCCAAGCAACTGATCAATGATGACCGAAGACATTGCTACAAACATGGTAAAACACACTTAGGGTCTACTGGAAGGGCTTATAGGTTTTAAGGTCTGCAACAATTCCTTCGATTGATCCAACTGCAGCAACAAGAGTGACAATCAAGCAGAAGGCACTTAGCAATTTGACCCCAATCCAAACCATAGAGAACTTGGGGACTTTGGCCCGAACCAGGTACATCTCTGTTGGAAAGTAGACGCTCAATGGCCAGAAGGCAATAGCTCCGAGCAACCCGACAATGCTATTGAAGAATGGCAGTAACATAGCAACCACCACTGTGAATATCACATAAACTGTCCTCCATAACACCCTGAATGCATTGACTCTGTATGTGCCAACCAATGGAATGTCCACACCATATTCTTTTGCCATGATTCTGCTTTCAGGCCAACGCCCCGCACACCAACTTTCCACAAGCATAAAAACTGGTTGTGTAAATACCTGGATGTACACACAAAGTGCAAATTCATAACTTAAATATCATTGCTTACTTCACGTATTTTAATTCTGTAATTTTATTAATTACATTTTTGGTCTACCTAGTATCACGTATGAGTGATCAAAAATATAATTGACTCACTTAAGCACGTTTCAAACAATGCAAAAATAACTAATTTCTTCAGTACCATACTTGATTTGTTAATTAGAATTCAAATAACTATAATTATGATAAAAGAATTACCTGGTAGGCGCCTACTAAATGAACAACTATGAAGACATTACCAATGTCAACAAGCCAATATGGTTCATAAAAACCAAATCCTGTTAAGAAGTTTCCGGGTGCCTTGTTCCCGAATGCTGCATAGCCCAGAAGGCCACATAGCATGTAAAAGAATGTGGTGATGGTGATTCCAGTCACGCTTGCCTTCTTCATGGATCCATTTTCTGGTGGGCTGGATTTTAATGTGTCCTGTTGAAGGTAAGTTTTATGTAACAAAACAATCCTACAGAGAATAGTGTGAAATGAAATAAACACCAACTTTGGCTAAGTTTACTTGCCTGTATCTCAACCAAAACTTGACTGAAGGAATATGCAAAAGCAATGTTTCCAATTGCTTGGAAACTATTCCATATCTTCTCTTGGCTTGTCACGTCTTCTCCAACCACCATCCCTGTCAGACTTGTCTCCGCATGGCTTCCACCTTTCATGTTCCACACCCATGCAGCACAAGTTTATTAACTTTTATAATAATTATTTTAAAATTATATCAAAATAGTTTTTAAATAATTCACATTATAAAATCAAGCTTTGTATTCCTTGCTGAGACATATGAAACTACAATGGGTTAATTATGTGCAATGGGAAACCTGCAATTCTGGCTATGGAGAGACCAATGCCAATGGAAGAATAACCGAAAGACATGATGGAAGCAATAAAAGAGAGGCCTGTAAGTTCATTGAAATCAGGGATTTGGCTTAAGATAATCTCTATGGCCCCAAAGATGGACATATACGCGTAATTTGAAACATGGCACTTCGCTTCATGCCCATACTTGTGAAAGCAACTCGCTCTTTTGATGGCCCTGTTTCACAAACGCCATTGACAACATCATCTAAAATGAGTTTCCGTTTTAGGACTTTACAAATGAGTTCAAAATACTGTTAAGACTTTATCTTACACCATGCTAATGGATGCAGTGATGGTGTATCCAATGGTTGATCCAATAAGATTTGCGAACTGAGCTAGTCCACATAAATGGTATTGCCTTCCTCCTACACAAATGCACACTTTCAAAATTACAATGCAACCATCAACTTCACAACAAGCTTATTATTTAATGAAAACAAATAAAAAGGTTATATCACCAAATAATTTATATACTTAATACTTTATACAATATTCATCATATTTTTGTTTAATATGTAAATTAAAGATAAAATATATAAGGTGGATGGATATTTCTCTATTCTGTAATAATCATCGTGAGATTTAGATGTGGGTATTTGAGTTTGGACTTGCGATTCACTCATAAAATTCAATCCACGTTACCCGCCTCATCCAATTAATTAATCTATAGGTTAAACGAGTCTTATCGGTAAGTCATACATTTTTTTACAATTTACTATAAAATAAATATATATAATGTTAATAAATAAGATATGTAAGCTAAATAATAATAATTAAATATATATATATATATATATATTTAAAATTTAAGGCTTTTTTTTTGGTTGAATAATTGTTGAATGGCAATATAATACTTTTATTTAATATAAAGCTATAAATTAAGTAAATATGAGATAAAAATTTATTTTTTAGGTGGTTTAAAAAATATAAATTATTTTAACATTAGGAATAATTATTTTTTATTTCTCAAAAACCATAGTTAAAGGTAAAAATGTGCATTGGCTCGTTAAACTTCACATATTTCAAGTTTCAAGGCAAAATTACCGTGTACCAACCTCTAATGGCATAATGGGGATTCGTAAATTGAATTAGCCCACCTCCAAATTAGTCAAGGATATAAGGACTTTAAGTCTTTGTTTAAATAATTTTTTTTATAAATACTTACAACAAATCAAAATTCTTTCCTCCGAAATATTTAATTTTTAATATAATTTCTTATATTTTTATATATACTTAAGAATAAATTTATCTACTACACAAAGATTTTACTAGGAATTGTCAGTTTTATAAACATGAAATTATTAGATCCATATGAAAGAAATACATAATATTTTAAAAAATAACAATACATTAAATTATGTTATGAAGAATAAAATCCTTGTTCCCCATCCAAAATCACAAGAAAAAAAAAGGAAAATATGTGATATAGGGTTGTTGATTTGAAAGTACCTAGAATATTTTTGACCATGGTCATATAGGTGATGTTTCTGGTTCCATGAACAGAGTCAGGGTACCTATAACAATCGCTGAGCAGAAAAGAAGTGAAGAGAGTGATGACAGAGAACATTAGCAGAGCGAGAGGCCCAGCAATCCAGCCCAACTGCGAAACGGCCCACGCCAGCGACAAAACCCCAGACCCAATAACAGCCGTCACAATGTGTGCACACGCAGTGACCCATGTTCCTTCATGCCCCACACAACCATCACACAACTTCAATCACATCAACAACTGGTGAAACAAAAACTGAATAGGTGGGAGAAATTCTTACCTCTTCGTTTCAAGCGACCATCGTCGTCGTGTTTAGAGGAATGTCGCATATAAATCTCTTGGGACTCCATACCCTTTCTTTCTTTCTCTCTGCTCACTCTCTGCTATTCTCACACTCGTTGATTAGCTACAAGAAGGACTAAGGAGGAAGAGAAGAAGAAAATGCTGCAATCAAAATCCTTATCTGAATTTCATTCTTATTACATGTGTAATGATAACAATATCATTTGGTCAAAAATATAATTAATGAAGAATTAAATTAATTGTATTAATTATATTTAAATCTATATATAATATAAAATATTTAATAAGTACTTTAATCATCCATCACCATCTCAATTATTATTATTATTGTTATTATTATGTAGAAAACTCTCATGTTAATGAATAATTAAATAGTTCATAATATAAAGTTTGTTTAAAAATTACATTTGATGAATATATTAATACCGGTCCGTAGATTTGTTTCATAACAGTTAATTATAAACATGATTTTTTTGTATTTTTCTTAGGGATGGCAAAACGAGCGAGCGAGTTGGCCGATATAGTCATGACGGCAGTAGACCTTGGTCCGCCTGCAAGGGACGGGTTGGCAGGTTGGTCCGCTATAATTTAGAAAAAAATAATTTTTTTAAAATAATTTTTTTTAATAAATTTAATAATAAGATTATTATTTGTTTGTCAATAATTCAATATATATATATATATATATTATTTCAATTTAATAATATAAATCAATATATTATTTTAATAAATTATAATTTAGAACAATAATAAAATTTACATAATAATAAATAATAACAAATATATATATATATATATATATATATATATATATATATATATATAACGTTAAAACTTATAAAATTTATATTTTTTATATTAAAAAATTCAAATACCTATATCTTTTTTATTTGATAAAACTTCATATTATTTTTGGTTGAGTAATTCTTACACCTTTAATTTAAGTCATAAGAATAAAAATAATTGGTGTCTAAGATGAACAAAGAGAACAGGAGAGAAGGTTGTGTTTCGAGTAAGGAAAATATTTTATGTGAGAGTGAAACTTTTTTAATTCTCTTTTTAAATTTTGTAATTTTATATATTATCTTTATAATTAATTTTTATTACAATAAAAAATTATTTTTTTATTAATTAGGCGGGTCGCGGGTTGGCGGACTTGGCGAGGCAGGCCAAAGCGGGTTGGTGGGCTGAAAACACCAACCCATCCCGCCAGGCCTGACCCGTTTTGCGATCCCTAATTTTTCTCTTAACTGTTGGATTTTTTTATTTAAAAAATGTTTTATTTCAAAATTCAACAAACACATTAATTACTTCTTGGTTGATTGTATTTTACAAATTTATGATTTATTATTATGGTCAAAAAAATTAATTTTTTTTCCTAATCCTAACAATTAAACTATTCAGTCTTAAAGTAAGAACAGAAAATGAATATTATCATGTTTAATATGTTTAAAATTTAATAACTTAATTGTTTGATCACTCTGAAAACAATTAATGTATAAACCCAATATCAGTGTTTATTTCATATATAAAGTATAAAAAAAAATGTGAAAGGGAAAGTACCTATTTGAAAAATAGTTATATGATTAATTAATTAATTATGATTTTACCTAAAAAAACAATTAATTCTGATTTCATCACTTTGTAGGCATGAAGATTGTGGAGTCCTTTTTTTTATGATGTTTGGAACCATACTAATATGTGTTTGTTTTCTTTATCCCTTAACCTTATTTCTTTACTATTTAAATTAAATACATTAAAAATAGTAATTATATAAAGATGATATATTAATAGGTTATCGTGATGGAACAGGACAGGAGAGATTTAAACTCTTCAAAATTAAAATATTTTTGTAAAACTATTCTTACTTTATAAAATACACATAGACTTAAAAAATAATAAATGTGATATGGTGAAAACAAGATTATAAAAAGATGAATTTTAAAAAATGTGAAAAAATTATACAAGTATTTTAATGACTTTGATTAACTTCGAAAGTTGCTGCAATAACTATCCATTAATAAGTGGTTTTTGATAACCTATCAGTTAATAAATTTGGTCTGACTTTGGTTTTCAGATTTTATTTTTTATTTTTTAAGTTTTGGAGAAAATTTTTAGAAATTTATAAAACAAGGATGTTTTAGTTCTGCTTTTTATTTTATTGTTGGTTTGGTTTTATTTTTCTTTCATTTCTTTGGGTTTTATTATCTATCATTACCTCTTTCTATTAATTTTACATGGGATAACATTATCGCATGACACAAAAATGTCAACTCGAGTCATCAAAAGTAAACAAAAAATGTTTTACGATAATCAAAATGAAAAAGAAGACATATATTTTCACGATTAAAATTTAAATAAAATCTATATACTTACAAAGAATAAACCCAAAAATTAATATATTTACGAAATGTTCTAAAATTATTAGACAGATGCATTTGTGTTAGTTCCAATAATTTATCTGAGAAATTAAATCATGATTTATTAAATTTTTATCTTATTTAATTACGATAATATTTATTATTATAACAAATCATAATTGTTGGAAGTCTCATATCACCTACCTCATGTCATTTTGTATGATTTAAATATATGTTAGACTAATCCATAATATATGAATTGATTTTATTTTGAAATCTTAACAATAATAATTGAAGATTTTGCTATTTTTAATCTTTATTAATGCTAATTTTAAAAAATTATTAAAATGAACTGAGGAATAAATTAAATAACTCATAAAGTATAATAATAGAACAAGTTAGGTAAAAAAAATATAATAGGACCTAAATATTTTATGTATGAAAATAATAAGTTTTAAACAATAAAAGATGAAAAATCTAAAATATATGTGGATAAGGTCTTCCAGTATCAAAACCTTGGAACTATTTACAGTCAAAGATTCATTTGGATGTCAAATTTATTACTTTCCCATTCTTCTCTGAAAAATAAATTCACTTTCTACAAAAAGTCAACTAACCATCCATTATTCTTCTCACACACAATTTATCCAATTATGCACACTCATCTTTTAAATAAAACAAAAAAAAAATCGTATATCAACTCTTATATATATATATATATATATATATATATATATATATATATATATATATATATATATATATATATATATATATATATATATATATATATAAAGTAATAAACATTTTATTAAACTATTCGATAAATTAAAAAAATAAGAACTGAAAAGGTTATACAACTATTTTAATTACTGAAATAATTATCCATTAATAAGTTTGGTCTGACTTTGATTTTCAGTTTTCTTTTTTACGTTTTGGGATGATTTTTTAAAAGCTATAAAAATGAATAAATATTATTTAATATTGTAAGTTATGTTTGAAAACACTATTTTTTTAGAGAAATAGTTTAAGGTTACGGAATTTTATTGTTTTAAAATAAAAATATTAAAACTGTGTTGTAAAATTCAACTGTAATATTTAAAAAAAAATTAAAATTAACAGCTCTAACTTTAAATACAAACTTCATTATTTTTAAAAGATTAAAAAAATTAAATTTTGTTTTTAAACTCAAATTTATTACTATAAGTAGTGCTTTACAGTAAGAGTTACTTGTATCTGTAATTTATTTTAGATACATTTATTTGTGTATTTTTTTTTAAATGATAAAAAACATCAAATAAAAACGGAAAAGTAATTACTTTTTTCTCATTAAATTATTTTCAATATTTACAGTAAGTAATTAATAAACAAATAAGTACAGCATGAAAATAACATGAAACATTTTTCATGCGCTGATTAGATATTAATCAGAATGTTTCCAATTTTATTGCTTTTTATCAATTTAATCACTGTAATAGTTTTCAAGATGAACTTATATTTTCATTTTGTGAATTCCATATATCTTCTGAAGGCATCAGAAAATTTATTTGAATGTGGTGAAAAAAAAACTTATATATGAAATTAATTTATTTCATGCACATTATCAAATGATGTTTCAAGGATAGAGTTAACCTAAACTCAATTACAATAAGATTTAGTAAAAATTAAAATTTATTATATAAAAAGAAAGCATTAGTTATATTCAAGATATAAAATGATTTAATATCTATTTTTTTACGAAATTATAAATATTTAATATTACGCATTAAGCGAACTTTTACCATTATCCTCCCAAAAATCTTATTAAGCGAAAAAGGAGGTGAAGGAAAAAAATTATATAAAGCATCAAGTTTATATTATTTATTTTAAAAAAGGAAAACATTTTTTTTGGACTAAAAGAATGTATCCTCTCAATGAACGGTGGGTAGAAAAGTTTTACTTCTCATTTTTTTTATTTCTTAAAATTAAATAAATAAACAATATGAAAATTTTATGAATAAAAAATTAATAAATAATTTATTTTATGAAAAAAATGAAGTAAAAAGTTTAATTTTGGAGAAATTTTCAACGTACTATCCTAATTCTCGTACTTTTTCCCATAAATTGAAGTGCACTAAATTTTACTTTGTTATCATAAAGTGGACTAAAATATTACTTTCAGAATCGTCGTCAAAGTCAAAATAATAGTAAAAACTGAAATACTCCACACTGAACAATTCTAAATAATTAAATCACCCGGCGGTTGAGAAACAAATTCTCTTAAAAACATTTAGAAAATTATGCATACATTCACAGATCAAACACGAGGCTAATTATGCAACTTTGAGTTATTTATTAAAACAGTTATTAAAGATGGCGTAAAAATAACTCATTGATTGGTGAACATATTTTCTATTTTATACAACTGAAAGAGAAATAACATGCTCAAACATCATAAATTCTGTAGAATATATTATCAAATTCAGCTTTCAAACAGCACTCAAATCTACGGGTGTGAATATGGGTTTTCAACTGGCTTATTATAGATTTGATGATTTTTTTTCTACTTAATAGATTAAAAATAAATTTGATTTATTTAATTTACAGATTAATCGGATTCAAGTCAGGTTAGATTTGTTGACTTGAAATCCATAATTTATTTTAAATTTTAAAAATAATATAATAATTTAGTAACTTGTTATTCCTAA